TCTCACAGGTCCCTGGCGATCCTGTGGTTAAGACACTACCCTTCCACTGCTGGGGCAAGGGTTTGCTCTCTGGTCAGGGAACTAAGATCCTGCAAGCTGCATGGCTGAACTTTGGTGCTGGATAAGACTCTTGAGAGTCCCTTGGACTCATGGAGATCAAATCAGTCAGTCCTAAAGGAAATCAGTCCTGAATATTCATTGGAAGGACTGATGCTGAAGCTGAAGCTCCAGTACTTTGGCCACCTGATGCAAAGAGCTGACTCATTAGAAAAGACCTGGATGCTGGGAAAGATTGAAGGCAGGAGGAGAAGGGGATGACAGAGGACGAGATGGTTGGGTGGCATCACCAACTCAATGGACCTGAGTTTGAGCAAGCTCCAGGAGTTGGTGCCCTGTAGCCTGGCATGCTGCAGTGCAGAGGTCGGACATGACTAAGCCACTGAACTGAACTGAACTGATGCTGCTTGGTGTAGCCCAAAGGATTCTCTCCTCTCTACTGTCTCTGTTCTAACTTGGGCTCCTAAAGTATCTTCTTTTTTTCTTTTAAGCCAGGCCACATGGGAGCTTAATTCCCTGATCAGGGATCAAACCTCTGTCCCCGGCAATGGAAGCTCAGAGTCTTAACCATTGGATTGCCAGGGAAATCCTATATTTTGTTTTATTTTAATTAAGACTACATCTATTTTTTCCAATATATACTACTAGTATTATTCTTTGGAATTAATTTTATTTATAATTGAGAAAACTAAAATTGTGCATGAAGTCAGAAAGAAAGATAAGTGTGTATGGAGAAAAAAAAATGGATTCCTCAGATGACTCATAAAAGGGGAAAAAAAAACCCACACCCAGTCATAACCAGACTTATGAGTTCCTTTCAGTGTGATATTTTCTTTTTTTGGTGATCTTAAATACTGATAAGCATGTCTGTTACTGAGTCCAAGCTTGCCAGTGAGTTGGAGATGAGGTGTTGAGGCAAGGAACACAACTTTATTCGGGAAGTCAGCCAACTGAGAAGATGGCAAACTAATGTCTCAAAATAACCATCTTGTTGGGGTCTGAATGCCAGGTTATTTTATAGAATAGAGATGGAGGGAGGTGAGGAAGAAACATAAAAGACCATTAATCTTGCAAATATCTCCTGGAATGGCTAGCCTTGGGCAGGGAATGTGTTAATTTTTTCCTTCCTGTAGTGATCCACAGATGGGCAGAGCCCTGAAGAGAGGCACTTTGGTTCACTATTCCGGCCGAGGGGCAGGGGTCCCAGAGGCAGGCCATTTCATATAAACAGTGTCCTTTTAGTGAACAAAAGCAATGGGGAGTAAAGGTTAAAGTCAAAGAAACAGATCCAATGTGGATGGAGTCAGCTCTTTCCAGTAACATGTCAAGATAGAAGAGAAACCAAATCTTTTTGGAAACTTCACTGTATTACAGTGAAAGCAATTTCTCACTTTTAAGTGATTTGCATATTGGTAGGACTGAGTTAAACTTCTTTACATTTTAATCTACATGCTGAACATAATGCAGTAAAAATGATATCTATATCTACACATATGCTTAATTTCTCCTAAAAGCCTATATGAAATTTTTAGCTGTGAAACTAGGATCCTAGAATCCTGTCCCCAGATTTTAAAAGGCCAAGGAAAGATCCTGTAAAGATTACACATAAATAATCTCAGGCTGTTCTTAGCTGACTTTTCCACAAAGCAAAAATGGTCAACAGTTATAACTGTTTTACTAAGGAATAGTTGTGCGGCCCAAAATACCTATTCCTCTGGCTTCTAGAATTTCCTCTCCTATTCTTCAGCCTCTTTGTTCTTTTGTTTCACTTCCTGGGAAGTATCTTCTACTGCATTTTCCAGACCTTCTATTAAGTTACTCATTGCTGTAAGTGTATTCAGTTTACAAGAGCTCTTTACTGTGTGAATTCTTAGAATGGCATCTTGTTCTTGTTGCATGGATGCAATATTTTATCAAAGGATATTGATAGTTTTTTATTAAAGTTTTCTTCTCTAGGCATATTGTTTCCTCAAAGATGCTGTTTTCTGTTGGTTCTGTTTGTTGTATGAAATACCTTCCTTATATATGGGTCTTTGGGTTGGCTGTTCAAGTTTAAGAATGGGGCTCTAACATGTTTTCTGGGAATTTCTGTCTGTGTGGTTGTGGGTGGGACTTGATGGATGAGACTTTTTTGGTGAGGTGCTCTGGCCAGCCTGTTTTGTTAGGGGGAAGTAGTTTAAGTCTTTTATCTTAGGCTGCTAAGATTTACAAGAACTTTTTCCAGTTGTCTGCCCTCCACTAGGAGGGACAAAGTCAGCTGCCAGTGTGCCTGGGAGCACAGGCGCAAAGAAGGCTGGTGGACACCCTACAAAATACAGAAACTTGCACAACCCTCCTTTCAGTAGAGGAGCCTTGATAGGGCCAGAGTAGGTGGACAAAGTAGGTAATTAAACAGTTAATCCCACTAGAGAATTGTAAGTAAAGAAAAAGTATGGGGAGACCCCTGTAAGTTAATGATTACTTAAGAAAGTAAGTGTGCTTAACCACAAAAGCAAGCAAGCTTGCTTAGCAACAAAACCATGCAGGAGAAGTATGAGACATGCCCCAAAACAATGAAACAACAGGTGCATGAGACCAACATCCTGCCCACTGGAGCTCAGTAAGTTAATGAACCCTAGGACATGCTCTCTACACACATAAAAAACGTTTGGGGCTTCCCTGGTGGTCTAGTGGTTGAGAGTGCCTGTCAATGCAGGGGACACAGGTTTGATCCCTGGTCGGGGAAGATCCCACATGCCATGGAGCAACTAGGCCCAAACACTCCAACTACTGAGCCAACAGTCTAGAGCCCATGAGCCACAACCACTGAGCCCATATGGCCCAACTACTGAAGCCTATGTACCTATGCTCCACAAAAGAAGTCAGGACAATGAGAAGCCGGTGTACCAGGAAGAAGAGTAGCCCCTGCTCATCACAACTAGAGAAAGCCTGCGTGCAGCAACTAAAACCCAGCAGAGTTAAAAATAAATAAATCTTAAAAAAAAAATGCCAGTAACTTATGTTAAGGTGACATTTCAACGTAAAGACCCTCACTGTGCTGAGACCTGAAATAATTTTTCCATAATGCCATGATAGTCCCAGCTTGACCATGAAGGGATAAGAAAACTCCTCTGCCCAACCTGGAGGAGGGGCTGATGATGGAAGAATGAGGAAGAAGGTGGTCTTTTCCCCCTCCCCGCTTTTTCCTTTGATTATAAAACTGTAGCCCACTAAGTTCTCAGAGTGGCATTCTCTTGCCTGCCTGCTTATCAGCCTCACAGGCATCCTATTTTAATGTCACTTTCTATCTATCACTTTGCCTCTCACTGAATTCTGTCTGCGCTGAGACACAAAGGACTGGAGCTCCTCGGAGCCCCCCCAAAGCCTCGCTCTCTGCTGTGCCTGGTATCCTAAGCTTCTGCAGGGTGATGAAGGAGCAGCTGGCTGGCTACACAGGGGAGATGAGTGGGTCTGGAGGTCTGATGCTTTTAAGTCTTTCAACTGAACCTACATTTTTAGCACCATCTCACTCCCACCTTCCAGAGGCTCCTGGTGCCTATTGCTTATCGTTTGGGGGGTGTCTTCATTGAAGAAAACTTGGTTCTCAGATTTCTCTACAGCTGACCTAGGATCCAGCTTTCTTGGGTCTGCTAATTCACAGTCTATCTCCTTTCCAGCATCCAGTATTTTGTTGTTGTTGATGTTTCCTCCTTTTCATCCTCATGGGCTTACACCATTAGGAAAATTTCTTTCCTGTCATTTTAGTTGGGACTTACGAGCAAATGGCCTAAAAAATGTGTGCTCAATATACCATGTAGAGTTACGCTAATGTTCAAATTTCTTAATATTCTTAAAAATTTTAAAGAAATTCTCATTGAGTTTCTTAAGAAGCAGTTAGCTTGAAACCAAATGATCATGCAAATAAGCAACATTTTTTCAAGTTTTAGATCACAAAACATCTTCTACATGTATTTTCTTTGAAATTGATGACAACTCTATTGGTAAAAATTATTCTTTGTTTTCTAGGTCAGAAAAACAACAAAAAAAAGAGAGAGGGGTACATCCTTTATATAAAGCAAATGCAAAACATATGTGGCAAATTGGAAGGTTTTTGTTAAGAATTTATTAGAAATATTAAAAATTGAGAAAACTTGCATTAAAAAAATCCAATTTTCAGCAACTTGAAAAGCTGGAAAACGGGGCAACATTGAGCCCACACTCCCCATGGGGACAACCATCTGGAGCTGGATCTGAGCTGCTTCTTTCAGGTGGGACTAAGGCCTCCAATCCACTCTGTCTCCACTCAGCTCCTTCACTTATCTGTTACCAGAAAACACTTGAATTTGAGACCAGAAAGAAATCACTTTATTTGGAAAGGCAAAATTGAACTTAATACATATGCTTCAAAAATAAATCTATAATACAAGCCACTTCTCTGGGTCCCACCCAGTGTCCACCTTGTCTAGGTTAAATGGTTACCTCAGAGATTAGAAAAAATGAGTAACAGGCACAATTGCAGAGAATATGCATATTTTGTCTCCTTCCCCCTGCCCCTCCACAAGCTGCACATACTTGTGTAAACATTTTGTTGATTTGTAAAACATGTCTAGTACTGCAGACAAATGTGCTGGGATGAAAGGAAAGGAAGTCATTAAAATAGCAACAACAGTAAGTTACCTGGCTTGATTCATCAAGGTTGCATTTGATGATAAATTCCCACAGGGCCTCAGGTGAGGAGGGAATAAGGACATCCAGCTGCACTGGGGGTTAGGGATTTTTTTTTTTCCTACTTACATCCATAAAGCCTGCTTTTTTTTCTTTTTAAACCTATACCCAAACTGAGAGACATTATACTCCAGTTCACTCCAGTTTAATTTAAAATTTTATTCTCAGGATCCTCTAAGAGTAGCTCTCAGATCCTGGCTTCAGCTTAGCCTCTCACCAGCAGGATATTTGGAAAGAGTCTACCTTTCAGAGCCTTGGATTTTCCATCTGTGAAGATACTGATTGAAGATACTGATTATATCCTTGACTCTGCTAATCTCCTGGACCTTCACCTGCTTCTTGTACTTGAAGATAGTCTCTGATGTCTTCCCAGTTGGGCTGGAATGTCCTGAGATTTTTTTACTTTTTGGATGCCCAGCATTTGTGGAAAAAGAAGATGCCCTAACCAATTTTAGAAGGCACAGAACTATCTTTTGAAGGTGGAGTAAGTTCTGTTGGCTCAGAAGGATTTGTGTCTTGCAGATCACTTTGCTCTCACTTGTCCTTAAAGAAGCATTTGATTGGCTGTAGTATATCCAGGCCATTCCAGTCTCCTAGAGGAGAAAGGGACCAGCTGCTGACATTGAAGCCATATGGATGGGTGGAATTGCACAGGTGACCAAGCCATTCCAGACAGGCTGGAGCAACCAGAGCCACAAACACTCCATTTTTTATGAATTTACTGAGTGCTTACTCAGTGCCAAGGCACTGTGTTTTTAAGCACTAGAGATTGAAGAAAAATTGAGGTAATGCTCAGCTTCAGGGTTTAATATACTAACTCTTAGTCAGGATTAGAGCAGAGGCTGGCAAACTATAGCCCAGGCAGGCTGTTTTTGTCAATAAAGTTTTTTTTTTGTCAATAAAGTTTTATTGGAACACCAGCTGCACTCATTCATTAAGGTGTCATTCACCGATGTTGCTGCACTACAACGGCAAGGCTCAGTGGTTGCAACAAAGACCATAAGGCCCCCAAAGCCTAAAATATTTACTATCTGGCCCTTTAGAAAAAAGTTGCCGGTCCCTGTGTTACAGAAAAGCACTGACAGGCAACTAAGAAATGAGACCGGTGGCCAGGGAACATTAATGATTTGCATAATAAAATCTCAGAGAGTGAGATTGGTTGAACTAACAGCAGCAACAACAAAAGCATCAGTTAATGAGGCTTGAGAACTCTGAAAAGTCAAAGTTGCTTCTAGTTTACATTTAACAAATGCAAATTAACTATATGCAGTGGTTTAAAACACACAAACGACTTTAAGCAAGCCAACTGCTTGATCTGTGCAAACGGCAAAAGGGTAATTAGTTCCAGCCTTTGGAGGAAACTGGTTATGGTGAGTCCAAACACAAAAACAGGGGTACCCGTCATTTATAGGTGATCCAAAGGATTTTTCAAGGGTAATTTTGACTCTGCTTGATTTTTCCTTTAGGGCACACTCTTAACTTTGGAACCGAATCCATGCAGAGGGTCATGACTCCACAGTGCTTAACACTAACATGCTGAAGGACCTGTCTTAATGAACTGGTTTGTATGTTACGCTGGTTTTTTTTTTTTTTTTAATGTTTTGATTTTTAAACAAAGAGATGTTGCTTTAGCACTTGGGGTTGATCAAAGCAGTCTGTTTTCTTTGCTATTTGAAACATCAGTTGAAATCACACTGATGTTAAATCTGAAATCCTTCTTTTTTTTTTTTTTTAAATCCTTCTAAAGAGAACACTCATTAAATACAGATAGCCATAACCTGGCCCTGGGGAAACCACTGGAATTAATGAGTGTTTATAGTTCTTGCCCTCTCATTCTCCAACAGCTTAAACAAATCTCAAGGGACTGCTGCTGAAAGCATCCTACTACAAATGACAAGAAAATCAGCCAAGCTTCAAGCAGAAAATGCCGAGGATGGGGGTTGGGAACAGATTCTTCGTAAGAACATCAGATGCTAAGAAAATACAGAGGAATACTGTACAGGGGTACTTCAGTCATATTGTGGATGCTGCCACTGAGATGCAAAGTCCATGTCTGCTTGGAGGAAAGTCTTCAGCCTTCCAAGCCACAGCCCTTACACATAAAAGCTTTGAGGTGCCCCCACTTCCACACAAGCTGAGGCAGGAATTAGAGGTAGTAAAAGTGTGCATATAGAAATCAAACCTGTTTTGTAAAGCCCACTGTGGAAAACATGCTTCAGAATGTAATTTGGCTGTATTCCACAAAATCAGTTGCATTTTAGGAAGGAAATTAAAAGATAAGAAAACAGTGTGTGGGTCCTCCCCCACGGCAGAAGAGGGCCTGGGAGATGTACAGTGTCACACACACCAAAAAATGCCACACACATTCTTCCAAATGCTCTGAGAAAGATGGTTTTGCTCTAAGACAGACATGACAATACACACCTCATGGAAAGCTAACATGCAGCTCTGCTCTTTCCCACCTGATCCTGACTCAGGAAACACAGACTCTGTGGGCTGATGAGCAAAGCCTTAATATTTTCCCTCCAGGGCAGAAAAGATACATTTTCTTTAATCTCATGACAAACAACAACAACAATAAAACATAGAAAAAGAACCTCAGAAAGATATGTTGGTTCATTAGGCTGCTTTTTCAGTCCCCAGTGCCCTAGGGGACAGCTGCAGTGTCTCCACTGGTAGCAAAGACATTTTCAAGAGTTAAAAAAGAACATACAAAAGTTGATTTAATAAAAACATCTGCCCGCTCCAGCCCCCAAACAACCCTAAATAAGAAGTCTTTTTCTTCCCCCCTCTCGGAGCCCTGTAACTTGGGGCTGGCTGGCAGTGGTTTTTTCCAGCAAGCTATTCCTCCATCTGGGCCCAGGCCTCCTCCGCTTTCTCGTAGTACTGGTTGGCCAGCCGGCCTTTCATGGCTTCCATCGCTGCCTCGGCCGCCTGGGTATATAAGTCGCCTGAAAGAAAGCAAAGTAGGGCACAAAGAGGTGAAGAGCCTGTTGTTTTTGCTGCGGGGTATCCCTGATCCTTCTCCAGGAAGATCACCCCGAGGTTACTCCTCCTGGCCTGTCCCTGAACATAACCTGGGTGGGGCTCCGAGCGTGCACGTGATCCAAGCCGCGTCAATCAAAGCACCTTCCCTGTTCTTCACCAGGCCCACAGGCATTGGTGAGGACTTAGGCACAGCCACCCAGAGTAAGCCATCCCAGGAAGCACAGTGACTGGTATAGGGCTCGTGGGTGATTCCAACTGAGTCACTGAGAATCAGGCTGAAGACATCTATTGGACAAATTGGGGCTATATGAAAGTGGAAGGGATAAAGTATCTAGGTGGGTTTAGCCACCAAATGAATTTGTGGAGAACATACAAAAACACTTGGTCTTCAGTGCTTTTGGATTTAGAAGTTTAAAATAAAAGATTACAGAATTACAATATTAGTTGCTTGATTTTGTTATACTACTTAAAAAAAAAAACTTTTAAACTTAGCCTCATCCTATACCTGCAAAACCAGGAGTTCAGTATGTCTGTCATGTTATTTAATATATATAATATGCATCAACTGATGAATGAATAAACAAAATGTAGTATCTATAAACTGGAATATTATTCAGCAATAATAAGGAGTGAAGTACTGACACAGGCTGCAACATGAATGATCCTTGAAAGCAGGAAGGCACAAAAGGTCACATACTGTGATCCCATTTGTATGAAATGACCAGAACAGGTAAATCTATAAAGACGGAAAGTAGGTTAGTGGGAGCCAGGGATGGCAGGAAGGGGAAATAGGGAGTCACTGCTAATAGGTACCAGGTTTCTTTCTGGCATGATGGAAATGTTCTGGAATTAGGTAGTAGTGATGATGGCATAACTCTGTGAACATACTAAAACCTCAGAACTATACACTTTAAAATGGTGAATCTTATGAAAATGTCAGCTCAATTTTTGAATTGCAAACAAACCGCCCAAATTTCTAACATGGGACTATTAAAAATGTTCATCTGCTTATCAACTTGATAAAGCCCCTTTCTAAGCATCATATGGGTATGCAGCCTGGCAAAATACAGGCACAGTATGAATCTTTCTCCCACAAGAATGGAAAGAAGAAACTCAGTCTTGCATCTTGTTGTGATTCCCAGTGAGACAGGAATTACGTCTCTCACTATCCAGCCCTGTCCCACCCCAGTGGCAGGTCTGCCAGGCCCTACCTGATCTCTGTGGGTCCTTCTCCAGCCCGCAGCCGCCTGTGAACAGCATCTCCGCCTCCCTGGCCAGCAGCATGTACCGGGGTTCGTCTTGCATCCCATCATACTCCCCACCCTCATCACAGTCAGTTGTCTCCAGGGCAGTATTGTACCAGTGGAGAGCCTTTGGCCAGCTCTGGGACCTTGTCAGGAGATATAGAGGAAACAGGAAGTTACCATGGCAACAGGGCAGGAAGGAGGAGGCCCATCAGCAGGAGGGACAAGTCAGGGATCCCAGTGGGACCACTATCTATGCTTCAGGACCCATAGTATCCAATGCCACCACATCTAAGGGCTGTCATTCACACTGTAGATCTATATATTTATTACAATAGCGGTCAAGTAGTTTTCCCTAACAAAACTGGTATAGTACAATAATTTTCCAACAGATGGAAGTCGGGCATCTTGAGGAAGGGGAACATTTTTCTAGTCTACATAAAATCACCCTACAGGAATTCCCTGGCAGTCCCAGTTAGGACCTGGGGCTTTTACTGCCAGGGCCTGGGTTCAATCCCTGGTTGGGGAACTAAGATCCCACAAGCTGCATGAGGTGGCCAAAAACAAAAACAAAAAGAAAACCATAAAAAACAAAAAAACTACCCTATGGGTTTGCATTAGCAGTGGGTGGTATCCCAACCAATTTGCCCTAAACTCGTGCAGGAGAGGAGGTGGTTGGATACCCTTCACCAAGGCCCCCAGAACCTTCCGACAGCAGTCATTCAGCCCTTTCCTTCTCTGCCTCTGCTGACCAGCTCTGGCTTTCCTCCAGAAAATGGAGGGCTCACCCCAGAATAGCTGACTTCCCCCTTCTGACTCTGCCCTTCACCCTCAGTTCTTTCTTCTACAGCTGCACAATGGCCAAACCCCCAAAGGCAGACACAAGTTCCAACCAAATCTGAGCAAAACAAAATAAAGACTAAATAGGGCAGTGGGCTCTTTTCCTTGGTGTGTACTAATGCATATTACCAAACACGTGAGTAACTATAGTACCTCAGGAAAGAGCAAAGAGAGACACAGATAAGAAGGTCTGTGTGCCTCACGAAATATCCCTGGAGCTGCAGCTGTATATATAAACACATATATATGGACCCGGCTTCACCCTTCCGTCCTAGCTCCTGTCAGCCGTGCAAGACTCGCTGGGTCACTTTCTCTTCCCCGAACGTGCCAGCTCCTGTCTGCCCTTTGGCTTTTGCACCTGCTGCTCCCTTTTCTTAGAACATCCTTCCTTTAACTCTTCCCACACCTGGCTCCTCATCTCTTCAACCTCAGCTCAGCTTCTTCAGGGACGCTGGCCCCAAATACTCTATTTCTTACCATTACCTCCAACTGTAATTCTCCTGTTTACTTATTCACTTGTTTATTATGGTTGCCCTGGCTAGAATGTAAGCTCTAGGAAGGCAGGGACCGTGTCTGTTTTATTCACAGCTACATTCCCAGGGCCTGGCAAGCAGTACAGCCTCTATAAATGTCTGCTGAAGCAGCTGGCTGGGATGGTGTCAGGAGATAATCTTGACTCCATTTTATTTTATAAAGAAAGGACGTTATTTGAAAATTATTTGTGGCACATCCAGAAGACTTGGGTTTGAACAGTGGATTGGAAACCACTAAACTAGCTGATCTCAATTCTTTCAGCTTTGACCCTCTTTGGTCTTGAAAGGCAAGGCAGAACTGCTCCCAACACATTAAATATAAAAGAAGGGAAAAGGGCCCACTCTCTTCCCACCCACTCCACCCAACTCCACACCCACTGGTTAGCGTGTCCACCATGCCTTGAAATTTCCAGTGACTTTTCCTTCTCCTATGAGATGGTAACTTCTGAGGAGGTCAAACCCCCTTAACTGCAAATAGCTGACTCTCATTAATGCTCCCTGAATGGAAGAGGCTGGGGCTGCTTGCAACGAGGAAGAAGAGTAAGAGAAAGACTTTGGAAGATGCTACGGAAGAAAATCTTGATAGATTTAACTACACAAATATTAAAAACCAGCATGTCCCCAGACCCAATAGACAATGGGCACTGTGTGGCAAATGGTCTCCCTGCTGCCCTAAATCTATGGTAGCCATCTCTGAAAAAAGGTTTTAAGTCAACTCATATACCAAAGAGCTAATAGCCTTAAAAAAATAAAAATTTTTACAGGGAATTCACTGATGGTTTGATGGGTAGGACTCCATGCTTCCACGGCAAAGGGCATGGGTTTGATCCTTGATTGGGGAACTAAGATCCCACATTCCACATGGCCAAAATATTTATGTGTGCTGTGCTTAGTCCTCCGTTGTGTCCGACTCTTTCTGACCCCAAGGACTGTAGCCCCCCAGGCTCCTCTGTCCATGGGGATTCTCCAGGCAAGAATACTGGAGTGGATTGCCATGCCCTCCTCCAGGGGATCTTCCCAACCCAAGGATCAAACCTATATCTCCTGCACTGCCAGGCAGATTCTTTACCATCTGAGCCACCAGGGAAGCCCATGAATACTGGGAGTGGGTAGTCCATCCCTTCTCCAGGGGACCATCCCAACCCAGGAATTGAACCGGGGTCTCCTGCATTGCAGGCAGATTCTTTACCAGCTAAGCTACAAGGGAAGCCCATATATATATATATATATAATTATTAACAAATCAACAACAGAAAACCTATCATCTCAAATAAAAAGAGAAAGTAGACAGAGGACATAAAGAGAAAACACATATAGTAAAGATTTTTTAAGGGCCTCAGATACATAGATTCAATGCCTAGTACCAGTTTCCCACACCCACATGGTTGTTCCCCACTACACTCAATGGGCATCATGTGTGTGTATTAGTCGCTCAGTCGTGTCTGACTCTTTGTGACCCCAAGGACTATAGCCTGCCAGGCTTCTCTGTCCATGGGATTCTCCAGGCAAGATTACTGGAATGTGTTGCCCTTCCCTCCTCCAGAGGATATTCCAGACCCAGGGATCGAACTCTGGTCTGTTGCATTGCAGGCAGATTCCTTACCATTTGAGCTACAGGGAAGTCTCAATGGGCATCATAGATGTTGGCATTTGATTTCAGACAAAATCATGTCATGTTTGTTTTGTTTACCTCCCCTCCACGTCAGTGATTCTGAGCCCCCTAAGAAGCAGGCTAATGTAATGTACACTGGAGAAGAGATGAGAAGACCTAAGTTTTGGCCCTGCTACTTACTGGCTACTTAACTGCGGACAAGCCCCTTCACTTAGAACCACACATCCATAAAAGAAGCCTCTAAATGCTGCCCGGTCTGTGTCAAAGAGATGTGTTGATTCTTTCATTCATACAACCACTGAACCAGGCCCTGTGCTAATCACTGGCACTGAAGAGATGCAGGAAACCCAATTCTAGTTCTCAGTGAAATAAAATCACAGATATGAAGGCGCACCCAAATATAAGGGAGTATTACTGTTACACAGCAGGTAGCTGACAAATGTTTGCATGATATGTAATTCAGACATTTCAGACCCTGAGAGCTTGACATGACAGAGCCAGAGTCCTGACTTTGCTTCTAAACTCAGTGAGAGGGAGGTGAGAACATGACCCCCATAGGAGGGAAGTGCCAAGCTGCCCCAATCCTGGAGGTCTGGACACTGTCCCTTCCAGAAAGTCACAGGCGTCTGAGAACAAAGGCGGAAGCTGAGATCCACTGGGAGCCAGTGAGCAGTGGGTCCCACTGAGAGTTGAATTCCCTCAGCTGTCGTCTGCTCCCGGACTTCTGGAACCTCCCACCAGCCAAGCCAAAGACCCGAGATGAAGCTGCCATTCTCCTCTCTTGCCACCACCAGAGAATCCAGTCCTGGTATCTCTGCCAGAGGCATAAGGGAAAAGCTGTTAATACCTGTAGGGCTGTAGCTGTCAAGGGTTTCAAAAAAGTGAAAAAAAAAAAAAAAAAGTGAAAGTGTTAGTTGCTCAGTCTTGTCTGACTCTCTGCAACCCCATGGACTGCAGTCTGCCAGGCTTCTCTGTCATTGGATTTCTCCAGGCAAGGATAATGGAGTGGGTAGCCATTCCCTTCTCCAGGGGATTTTCCTGACCCAGGGATCAAACCTGGGTCTCCTGCATTGCAGGCAGATTCTTTACCATCTGACCAACCAGGGAAGCCCAAATCACTCTGGAAAACTCACCAGGACTGAACTCCCCTGGAGCTCATTTCCTTTCCTCCACTCCCTCTTAGAAGTGGAAACAGTAAGAACAAAAATAGGAAGAGTCCATTAAAATCACCCCTAATCCTATCATCTGGCAACAACTGGCTCTAGACCTGATGCTTCATATCCCTTCAGACTCTTTCTCAGACAAATCTTTACATAAAAGGGCTAAGATGCCATTTCTCTCTCACTTTATGTGCCAGTGAAATTACAGGCATCATCTCATTTAACCCTCACACAACCACACACAACCGCCCTAGGGTGCAGGTTCTATCAGTATTCTGATTTTCCACGATGAAGAAACTGAGGCCAGGGAGGTAAATCTACTCGCCCACGGCCACGGGGCTGGTACTCGGGGGAGGCACACCTGGAACCCAGGTCTGTTCTGATTCCAGAGCGGAGGCTCCCACCTGCATCCCAGGTTCCCACCAGCTCCACCTGAGCCACGGCCACAGTACCTGTCAGGGCTGAGGTTCTGGCCGGTGTCAAAGGCTCGTGCCACCAGAATCATGCACTGTCTGTCACCAGCTTCAGCTGCCTTCAGTAAGTAATCAAATCCTTTGGTTTTGTTCTCTTCTGTCTCCTGTTCATACAAACCAAAGAGGGGGAGAGAAAAAAATGAGCATTATATGTGAGGGGCTGCCAGAATCTCATACATCAGTCTTTTCCCTGTTTCTTAAATTGAGAGCTTCAGGTTGGGGCTGCTATAGAACTGCACATTGTGAAAAAGAGAACAGGGCTTTACCCTGCTGCAAAGAGCTCCCTGGGGTTCCCATCAGGCAGGGAGAAATGGAAGCTTAGTCCACTCCCACCTCTATCTGATGTGATTCTGCCAGAGACCACATCATCTATCTACCTCCAACAGGGGCTCCCAGCTTCCAATTCTTTTAAATTTTTTAGCAACTTTATCAAGATATAATTCATATAACTCATTCATTTAAAGTGTACAACTCAGCAGTTTTTAGTATAGTTACAGACTGTGCAACCATCACCATAATCAATTTTAGAATATTTTCATTAAGCCAAAGAGAAATCACAACACCAGACCCTTTAACTATTACCTCCCAATTGCTCCCCATCCCACCCAGCCTTGGACAACCACTAAACCACATTCTGTTTCTAGAGATTCCCCTATTCTGGGTATTTTATATAAATGCAATCATATAACAAGTGGTCTTTTGTGTCTGGCTTTTTCCACTTGGCATAAGGTTTTCAAAGTTCATTTCATGCAGCTTCTATCCGTGTTTCATTCTCACTTATGGCCAAAAACCATTCCATTGTATGAATATACCACAATTTGTTTATCTGTTCATAAGTCATCAGGTGATGGACATTTGGGTTGTTTTCATTTTATAGCTATTCTCTGTGAACATCTGTGTACAAACTTTTGTGTGGATGTATGTATCTATTTGGGGAAGGTTATACCCAGGAGGCGGCTTCCTGGTGGCTCAGTTGGAAAAGAATCTGCCTGCAATGCAGGAGACCTGGGTTCAGTCCCTGGGTTGGGAAGATCCCTGGGAGGAGGGTATGGCAACCCACTCCAGAATTCTTGCCTGGAGAATCCCCATGGACAGAGGAGCCTGGCGGGCTACAGTCCACAGGGTCGGTCACAAAGAGTAGAATATGACTGAGCACATATACCAAGGAGTGGGGAAGCCCAGGTAGCACAGAAGTAAAGAATCTGCCTGCCAATGTAGGAGGCACAAGAGATGCAGGTTTGATTCCTAGATCAGGAAGATCCCCCAGGGTAGGAAATGGCATCTGACTCCAATAGTCTTGCCTAGAAAATTCCATGAACAGAGAAGCCTGGCAGACTACAGACCAGGGGGTTGCAAAGGGTTGGACACAACTGAGCAAGTGAGCATGCATACACAAACCTAGGAATAGAACTTCTGGGTCACATATAACTCTATGTTTAGCCTTTTGAGGAGCTGACTCTTTTCCACAGTGGCTATACCAATGCATTTTCCCATCTGCTTTTATTCTGCTTCTCCAAGATCTATCCAGAGAGATATTTTAAGCCCAAGTCATGTCATATTACTCTATCAAAGCTGCTCTAGGACTTATCTCACTTGGAGACAAATATAAAGCTCTCATATCAGTCTATGAGGCCCTTCTCAACCTTCAGGCTTCAAGAAGTGTGGCAGGGACTACCAGTTGTCCCCCATATCCATTATCCCCGGCCATATTTTTGCTGGCACATGGCTGACCTGCTAAAAACTACATTTCCCAGCCTCCCTTGCACCTGGAATCAGTCTCTTAATAACAAGAGGCCTATCCATAGGGTCTTCCCTGGCAGTCTGGTGGTTAAGACTCTGTGCTTTCACTGTAGGGGGCACAGGTTCAGCCAGGGGGTCTGCCAGTTCAGTCGCTCAGTTGTGTCCCCATGGACTGCAGCACACCAGGCTTTCCTGTCCATCACCAACTCCCAGAGCTTGCTCAAACTCATGTCCATACAGTCAGTGATGCCAGGATGTCCAGTCAGGGAACTAACATCCAAGAAAGGAGGCCTATCCAGTCATTCATTCCCTGTCACATTATCCTATCTCGCACTTAAGAACAATGCTTGGCACAGGAAGTGCTCAATAAAAGTCCGTTATTTTTACTTCTGTTGGAAATATTTTCATTTGTTAATTATTACCTGTATTTACATTATTTTCCATCTGAAAGGTTTGCTGTTGTCAATAATAACCTAGGACACTGCTCAGAGTGTAGGAACACTCAAAAATATGTGCTGGATTAGTGAGCTTTCCAGGTGGTGCTAGGGGTAAAGAACCCTCCAGCCACCACAGGTAGACGTAAGAGTCATGGGTTCGATCCCTGGGTTGGAAAGGTCCCCTAGAGGAGGGAATGACAACCCACTCCAGTATTCTTGCCTGGAGAATCTCCGTGGACAGAGAAGCCTGGCAGGCTACAGTCCATGGGGTTGCAAAGAGTGGAACATGACTGAAGCAAGTCAACACGCACTTAGCACAGATGAGTGAATGTCTTTTCTTTTTTTTTTTTGAGTGCATGTCTTAGCAAGATAATGCGAAAAGGTCCAAACAATGGGGGCCATGGGGAAAGTGCGAGATGGGCCAGCAGCTTTTCAGGGCACTTGCCCATGTTTTTTATTTTTGGCTGTCAGAGCCAGTCCTAGAGAGAAAGGCCTTTGAGACACCTTCAGATGAGAAAACTGAAACAGCTTCTACATCTCTTTAGAAAGGGGCTTAGGTGCGACTGGTGTAAACAGACTGAGAAGGGTCCCCAGTCCTGGCCCCTCACCACTCATTCTGGGCCTCGGCATTCCTTTATTCAAGCCTCAGACACTTCTAAGTATCCTCTTTGCGCCAGATGCTGGGGAACAGGCCGATGTGGCAGGAATACTGGAGCTGGCTCGACAAGCTCATGAAAAATGATGTGACAGCAAACCAGTCATAAAACACAGACTTTATTAAAAATTAAATTACGTTAACTTACAGTTAAATGAAAGGTAACAAACACCCAAAGCTCATCACTTCCTAATTATTTTACTCTGCTTCAGTGTTATCTATGGTCTTGAGGTTATTAATATCCATTGCAGGGCTTCTCAACCTCAGCACTAATGACATTTTAGACGGGATAATTCTGTTGTGTGGGGACTGGCCTGTGTGCTGTAGATATTTGGCAGCATCCCTGGCCTCTGTCCACTAGACTCCAGCTGTACTCCCAGAGCTGTGACAACCAAGGTATCTCCTGACACTGCTAAGCATCCCGTGGAGGAGGAGGATGCCTGATTGAAAGCCACTGGCCTATGGAATCTGCATAGCAGAAATGCTACATAACGATGCACTGCTATGCGTTCCCTCCAATTCTGTGCTCAGTGATGTTATGTTAGTACCTGGACACTGGCCACAGTGGGAGCATTTACACCAAGAGACGGTAAAATATTAAGAGTGCAGATTCATTTAAAAGTATGCTGTGTCTGTAGCCATTACATTGTGATGAGTGCAAGAAACTGGAGTCTCTTCAGTATTTAAAACTATCATCTGATTCAGCAAAGGAGTCTTGCTCATGTCAGCAGCAAATAAATGAAGCTCCAACTCTGACAAAGAGCTTACTTTTTTCACTTCCATTTTACTCACTAAAATAAGTGAAAGTGTCAACCAGTATCCACGTCAGAACTTCACTCCTTCTTCATCAACCACAATCAGAGGGAGGCTACAAATATGAGTGCCACAAAAGTTAGTGAAAGAATTCTGTAAGGATAAACTAACCCTATGGAATTCACAACAGAATATTTTTATTATTGTTTGTAAACCATACTCTCCACTTTCATCACTAAATGTCTAATAAGCCTACATACATATATGAACAAACATTCCCTCCCCACCTGCAAGAACCAGTCATTAAGCATTTGCCAGCATACCACTGGCTAAATGAGATGTATTCAATCCAGCCCTCAGGGAGCATGGAGACTAGAGAAATGAGGGAATTTTCATCCACCTGTCAAATCCCCCTCTCCCCAACCAAACTTGCTCTTTCACCATCTAAAACAGGAAATAAAAATGGTGTAGGGGCTTCCCTGATGATCCAGTGGTTAAGAATCTGCCTTGCAATGCAAGGGACACCCATTCAATCTCTGGTCAAGGAAGATTCCACATGCCACAGAGAAACTAAGCCTGCAACCCGCAACTACTGTAGCCCACAAGCCTTAGAACCTGTGCTCCACAACAAGAGAAGCCACCACAATGAGAAGCCTGCACATCACAAACAAGAGTAGCCCCCGGCTCACCGCAGGTAGAGAAAGTCCACGTGCAGCAATGGAGACCCACCATAGCCAATAAATAAATACATAAATAAATAAATATATCTTTAAAAAAGGCTTTGAGTTATCCCTGTGCATGCATGCTTAGCTGCTTAGTCACGGCCAACTCTTTGCAACTCTCTGGAGTGTAGAATGCAGGGTCTTTCCAAATGGACAGATTTAATTAGTTAAGATGAGGTCATACTGGAGTAGGGTGGGCCCTAAACTCCACAGGACTGTTGCCTTCATGAGAAAAGAGACACAGAGACACAGACGGAAGGCCATGTGAAGATGGCAACAGACTGAAGTGATGTGCCCACAGACTAAGGAACACCCCAGATTGCCTCTACCCACCAGAAGCTAGAAAATCATGGATATGTCGACACCTGATTTTGGACTTTGACATCTAGAACCGTGAGAGAATGAATTTCTGTTGTTTTACGCCACCCAGTCGGTGGTTATGCCTTATGGCAGTTCTAGGAAATGAACACCCTCTTGGAATTACATGTGAGGATGAGAAGATGGAGGAAAAGGTAGGAGGGAGATTTTTCACTGTAAACCTTTTTATATTAAAAAAAAAAAACTTTTTAGCCATAGGGCTGTCAAGGGTCTTCCCACACCCTCTCCCAGTCTGAGACCCACGACCTTCTGGGCCATGGCCAGGCCCACAGAGGAGGCCTGGTACCCTGTGCCCATGACAAGCCCACCTCATCCAGCCAGAAGCCTGGCCTACATGACGGGGGGACGGGAACAGATAGCTGGGGGCACACGCACACCAAAGGCCTCTCACCTTCTCTAAGTACGGGATCACACTCCCCAGGACTCGTCAGGACCTGTCCACTGTGCCCATAGAGCAGGGGGGCCAAGAGGGAGCAGACACCCTCACGGACCCTCACGGATTCCTGGCACACCCGTCCTGTCTGGGGCCCCCTCTCTGGCCTCGTCTCCCGCACCTCCTCCTCACACCCCATGCTCCAGCTACACTGATGGCCTCCTGTCCTCCAAACCCCACCCTGGCTGTCTCCCCAGGACCTAGACCCACGCTGTTCCCTCCGCCCACAGTGCTCCTCCCACCCTGTGCCTGGCTGACTCCACTGGGTCTTCAGCTCTACCTTAGGGATCAGGTCTTTCATTCATTCCACAAATGAATGCTGAATATGGAGTCTGTGCCAGGCCTGTTCTAGCCACTAGGGAATGATAATCAGGAAGCCCCAGCTAAGGCCCTTCCCTCATTTGGGAGGGAAGCATCTGCTTCTCCAATCGCACCAGGTTGTAATTGCCTGGGAACACGACAGTCATCTTAACTCAGTCCCGAAGGCCAGAGACCAATTCTATCAGAGTCAGCTAACTTGGAAGTTAGCCGGGCCCCAAAGTGATGCTCAGGAAATTTCCAGGGCATAAGACCAGGGAGGGAAGGGTGATGGGTGGACTGAGCTCCTCTGTCCATGGGATGCTCCAGGCAAGAATACTGGAGTGGGTTGCAATTTCCTTCTCCAGTGGATCTTCCCGACCCAGGGATCGAACCTGGATCTCCTGCACTGCAGGCAGATTCTTTACCATCTGAGCCAGCAGTTCAATTCAGTTCACTCACTCAGTCGTGTCTGACTCTTTGCAGCCCCATGGACTGCTGCACGCCGGGCCTCCCTGTCCATCACCAACTCCCAGAGTTTACTCAAACTCATGTCCATCGAGTCGGTGATGCCATCCAACCATCTCATCCTCTGTCGTCCCCTTCTCCTCCCACCTTCAATCTTTCCCAGCATCAGGGTCTTTTCCAATGAGTCAGTTCTTTGCAGCAGGTGGCCCAAGTACTGGAATTTCAGCTTTAGCATCAGTCCTTCCAATGAATATTCAGGACTGATTTCCTTTAGGATGGACTGGTTGGATCTCCTTGCAGTCCAAGGGAAGCCACCAGGGAAGCTCACAAACCCAGAGAAGTGGGGAGGGAGGCGGGAGGGGGGATTGGGATGGGGAACACATGCAAATCCATGGCTGATTCATGTCAATGTATGGCAAAAAACACTACAATATTATAAAGTAATTAGCCTCCAACTAATAAAAATAAATGAAAAAAAAAAAACCCAAGGAGGAAGGGTGATGGGTTGACTGAGCCCCCACCCACTCACCTTCAGAGAGACATCCGCCAGGATGTGGTGGGGCAGCTGCGAGTACATGAGTCCCAGGCCTACGATGGCCTCCAGCTCGCCCAGGTCGGCCGCGTGCTCCAAGTGGAAGACTGCCGACTCCCGGTCCCACTCCTCGTCCTTCTCGCAGAAGCGGCCGGCCTCATGGTAGCGCACCATGGCCAGATGGACCTGCCGCAGATGGCGGGTGGGCCTGGCTGCCTGCAGGTCGCAGCCACAGCCCAGGGGCCCCCAACCAGCTGGGGAAGCTCCGGGTTGGTGCAGAGAGGGCATCACCATACCTTCCCCAAAATGGACTTCCCGATTTTCTTCTCGAGGTCCAGAGCGTTGAGCCTCTGCACTTCCAGGGCCACGGCCGAAGGTCTCGGCAGGTGGAGGCGGGAGGAGTTGAAGAGATTCCACTTTTCCACGCAGACCTGGGGAGGACCCAGTACTTACAAGCCAGAGAAGCGAGGGGCTGGGGATGGACGCACCCTCCCAGCTACGAAAGCCAGCCTGGCAAGTTAGGGGGCGTGGACCCGTGTGGTGTCAAGTTTTCTTGGACAAAGGGGGCCTATTTCCAGTCTCCCGAATGATGCCAGCTCATGGGCACTGAGGCAAAGCTGAAGCACTAGGACCCAGAGGCTAGCACCACGCACTGAGCAGCTCGGAGAAGGGTCCCCTCACTTAACCATTTGAGTTGGTCGGGGAGGCTCAACCCTGAGCTGCTGCCCACACAAGGCTCCAGAAGAGCCTGACTACAGAGCCGGCAGCACATCCACTGTGCTTTCTCTGCACAAGCCCAGGGTGCTTCTGCTGTTGGGCTTAGAAAATACGCCATGTCTCCCAGCTAAAGACACCCTTGTCCCACGTTCTCACAGGACAGAGCCAGGCTGTCTGCTGTGTGCATACATGAGTGTGTATGCACGCATGTGCTAAATATCCTACAGTGCCCAGGGCAGCCCCCACAACAAAGAATGACCTAGCCCAGAGTATCAGTGGTGCTGTGGTTGGACAACCCTGACTGCACACCATGCTGTGGCCTTGACCTGATTGACAGATACCTCATGGTAAGTAAATATTGCATGTATTGCATGGTAAGCAAATGCCATGTGATACATAATCTGTGTTCTGGAAGCACCAAGAGACAAGCCTGCCCTGGTTATCAGGGAAGGCTCCTGGGGGAGGTGCCAGAGGGGTCCAGCCTGGGAGAGCAGACAGGCTTTGAGGAGATATGACCATGGAGGAGGAAGGACCTTGCAGGCGGGAGACACTCGCCTTAGCAAAGGCTGGAGGGCCAGAGGTTCAAAGTTGTGGCTCAGAGTCAGCTAGAGAAGAGGGTTCCTGAAGCTGGATGAATAGGGTCAGCCTGTCTCACTGGGTGGCTGCAAGAAGTGTTCATAAATTAACACTAGAAGGAGCTGAGGGGCGTGGCCATCCTAATCTCCTCTAATCCTCCCTGCTGATCCCTCAGCACCCCACCCAGGGCAGGAGCTCGAAAAGTATTTGCCAAAGGGATTGGCTCCTTTGCAAAATCTTCTTTTAGGAGATGCATGCATTGCCCGGGCAGGCAGAAATGATGTGACATCAAGGGGGAGGCACAGAAAGAGAGCCCGGAAAAGAGAAGCAGCAGCCACGATGAGGATTCCTGGGTGTGCATTACCCGTCCGGAACTGCCCAGGCTGTCTTCATCCGACTCGTACCTCCGGTTACCGTTCAAGTGGCCCTGATGGAGGCAGAGATCAGAGTGATCCAAAGAGCGGCCCTTCCTTCCAAGAGCCACCTCCTGGGGAACTGGCTCGGCCCCCCCAGGAAGCTGGCACATTGGCCAAGCAGAGAGGATGCTGGGAGACAGGCAGGACTGATGCGCTGGTCTCACGTGTGCATAGATGGAACAGATTCAAAGGCACAGGATCCTGGTAGGCAGGCACTGAGAAAACTGGCTTCTGAGAACAAGCGCTTCTTCCCTTAGCCAAAGCCCCCATTCCCTGTCTATATTTACAGTATCAAAGCTGAGACCAGAGGCTCCCAGCAAGGCTGCCTTGATGCCCATGCTCCATGCTGGCATTGGGCAAAACCAAGCTGCTACTACCTAAAATCGCCCTCACCTGAATGCTGCTGGGAAGACAACTTAGGGCATTCTCCATCCTCCGGAACCTTCCCGAGGGACTGCTGGAATCCTGTGCCTTGAGCTGGGCCCTTCTACCTACACCAGCACCATTCTGGCCCACTGCCCAGCATCCTCTCTGCTCAGCAACCAGAGGTCCCAGCTTCACCGTTCCACGTGCCCGCCGCCGTTTTCAACCTTGTGTCTAATCCCCATGCTTGTCCCCTCACTAAACTTACTAGTCCCCGTTACCTGTTTTATCTTCTGCCCTGCATTTATCTCAAATGACTTATATATTAATTTACTTTATGCTCTTAAGACCCACTCACATTCCCCCCTAGTTCTCTATCCTTCTGGACAACTAGGCAACAGGGGACTCTGCTCTCATTTCCTGGGGGTTCCTTACATGCTCTCTGGGCTCTGGGTCGTCCAGGTCACCCCGCTTCTCACTGGGGTATCCGCTGTCCCCACTGTTCTCAGAGTCCTGTGGGGAGAAGATGGTTCTAGAATCTCAGAGGTCCTCTGAATATCTGGTGGTGACGTGATACCTGGAATCTCATCCATTTGCTCTCTCTCTGTTGCCCCATCTCCTCACTTAACATTCTCTTCCTCCTGGGTATTTGGCTGGGTAACAAGGGAGCAGTAAGAAATAGTGGCGAAGAACGTGGGCTCTAGACGCAGACTGCCTAGGCTCAAATATAAGCTTTGTGACTTGCCAGTTGTGACCCTAGACAGTTGTTCAGCCTCTCTTGAGCTTGGTTTCCTGAGCTGTGGGGATTCATTATAGCACCTATATCAAGGGGCTCTGAGGATGAAATGAGGTGTCACACTCAGAGTGTGGATCACAGTAACTGCTATTATTAAGTGACTCACCCATTTCACAGGCAGAAAAACAAAGGCTGTTTAAAGGAAAAGACCCAAGGATAAAAATGTAGCATTGCAAACAATTATTTACAACTAAGCCCTTTGCCAAAACTGCACAGGTCAGTTCAGCATATTTTTTATTCTTCTAGATCTGAATTCTGTTGTAAAAAGGAATCTGGTATAATTTAGAATTTCTAAAACTTCAGTCATTTGTCTATCACTATTGAGTTGCGATCATATCTGCATGTCACCTGCATCACTGTTCAGCTAAAACTTTTATTTTTTTCCTTCTTTATTTCACTGAGAGACATTTCAAACACACCAATAAGAATAGAGAATTCAAAAATGAACTCCTGTGCCGGGTTGCCAAGTTCCAACAGCTCTTAACACTAGGCCTTAGTTACTTTAGATCTTTTATTTCTAAGAGGAATTGAAACATTTCTGTTAAAATGTAGACTTCTTATGAGTCTCTTCCTCACCCCATTCTCTTCTTCCTTGAGATAAAACTCCTCTCACAAATTCATACTTCTCTTTTATCATTTTTCCTTAAATAAACTATTTTATTTTACTTAATATATATATATATTTTTTTCTTTTTCTTTTTTATTTTTTTCATTTATTTTTATTAGTTGGAGGCTAATTACTTTACATCATTGCAGTGGTTTTTGTCATACATTGAAATGAATTAGCCATGGATTTACATGTATTCCCCATCCCGGTCCCCCCTCCCACCTCCCTCTCCACCCGATCCCTCTGGGTCTTCCCAGTGCACCAGGCCCGAGCACTTGTCTCATGCACCCAACCTGGGCTGGTGATCTGTTTCACCCTAGATAATATACGTGTTTCGATGCTGTTCTCTTGAAACATCCCACCCTCGCCTTCTCCCAGAGTCCACAAGTCTGTTCTATACACCGGAGTCTCTTTTTCTGTTTTGCATATAGGGTTATCATTACCATCTTTCTAAATTCCATATATATGTGTTAGTATACTGTAATGGTCTTTATCTTTCTGGCGTACTTCGCTCTGTATAATGGGCTCCAGTTTCATCCATCTCATTAGAACTGATTCAAATGAATTCTTTTTAATGGCTGAGTAATATTCCATGGTGTATATGTACCACAGCTTCCTCATCCATTCGTCTGCTGATGGGCATCTAGGTTGCTTCCATGCTAATATATTTTTAAAAGCAGCTTGGTATCACTACCATGAATGTGAAACTTGGATCAGTCTCCTAGGCAGATGGGAGCCATGGGACACACACAATGGAATCCTTGGCCTCCAGTCTGGCCAGGAATCTGCTCCACCCCAAGGAGCAGTGTTACCCTAAAAAGGCCTCTGCCCTGGTTTCTAGACGCACCCCAGGCTCCCCACTGCCCTCCCCCAGGCCTTGCTCTCTGTGAGTCAAATAACTATTCTATTTTTTAAAACTATTTCAATTTTTAAAATTGAGATATAATTTACAGACAACTAAACTGAAGTGTTCAGTGTGAGGAATGAAAGGCTGTTTTTGAAATCAGATCACAGGCTATACTCAAAAGCTCCAGGCAGCCCCCGCCTTGCACCTACTCTCTGAAAGACCTTCGGGCTCCATGTCCCATCCTTGGTAACCACCCCCAAGCCAGTCAACAGAGTGCCTCACTCAAACCCCAGCTCTGCACTTTCCATCTCTGGGACCCTGGGCAAGGCAGCCAGCCTCTCCAAAACACAGCGTTCTCATCTGAAAAATTGTGGAGAATAACATGAAGGACAGCAGTACGCAGAGGGGTTCAAGGCCACATGGCCTGGGTTTGAATGCTGGCTCCATCACTGATTGACCACGAGCAAGCAGCTTACCTTTCTGTGCCCCAGTTTCCCCACCACTAAGTCAGGGATATTGGGAGCACTGCCCAAGCAGTACTGGGGACAAGCTGGTGGCTGAGGCAACAGATGGGAGGGAGACTTTTCTCCTTGCTAATCTTCCAAACCTTTTCCTTTTCAACCTACTCTGAATTTCTAAAACTCATCCTAATTCTAGAAAGAAAAGTGAAAGTGAAAGTCGCTCAGTTGTGTCCGACTCTTTGCAACCCCATGGACTATACAGTCCATGGAACTCTCCAGGCCAGAATACTGGAGTGGGTAGCCTTTCCCTTCTCCAGGGGATCTTCCCAACCCAGAGATCAAACCCAGATCTTCCATATTGCAGGTGGATTCTTTACCAGCTGAGCCACAAGGGAAGCCCTAATCCTAATTCTAGGGTAAAACATAAAAGCTATTCCGAGAGGAGCAGAAACTATCAACTACCTCACAAGTTATGTGAGAATTAAATGAGAATTAAATGAGAATTATCTATCAGACTCTTAAAACTGTCTGCCCGTAGTGACAATTCCGTATGTGCAGCTCTTCCTACTTTCTTCTGCGAAGAGCTCTGCGAAGCAGTCAGGAGTGAAGCTGAACCTTCGGAGCTGAGCGGGCAGCTTAAGGTACCATTGGCTTGTGCAAGGGTGACATTTCTGCAAAGTCTGTTTAAAAAATTCTGATGAGCTTCTTTTATCACATAACTTCTTTTTTTCTTATGTCTCATAACAACAGGCATATGTGAATCTACTCTTTCAACTGTAAATTCTATGAACTCCAAATGCAGAATAAGTATTTCTGATGTAAATAAAATAAGTATTTCTGATGTAAATTAAAAAAACTGAGATATGCTAGTAAGTGTAAATTACTCACTGGATTTCAAAGCCTTTAAAAAAAACCCAACAACTTTTATTTCTTTGTTTTGGCCCCACCATGCAGCACGTGGGATCTTAGTTTCCCAACCAGGGATGGAACCCGTGTCCCGTACAGTGGGGGGTGTGGAGTCTTAACCACTGGACTGCCAGGGAAGTCCCTCTAATTGATTTTTGACACTGTGACATATGTTCCTCTGAATGCAAATATGTCATCTACGGTGTCTTACAGCTGAATCACGAAGAGGCTGCAGGAAATCTGTGTTGCTCATCAGACCTGGGAGCATCACAGCTGCCTGTGCTGTGCATTACACATTGGACACCCAGCAGAGCCCCTTCTCCCCCAAGACACACACTCGTGCCAAACCAAACCCAGGGCCAAGCCCAGGATGTACCAGCAGGTCACACTGCTGCTGACTTGGATTCTCTGCTCCAACCACCTCCGGAAACGGAGATGGACCCAGCTCTTCCCAGAGGCAGCTGCCTGTGCCTTTCTGCCAGTGCCCCGAGCAGACCTGGGCTGCCCACCTCTGAATCTGACGACTCACCCTCAGTTCCCAGAGGAGGGCGTCCACTCCTGCCCACCCCACCCCACCCCACCCCCTCCACTCACCCGGTGGTTGTCCAGAGGGTCCTGGTCTCGAGGTGCCATGCTATCGAGATCGCTGAACACAGGCCAATCTGGGCGGGGAGAAAACAGAGACAGGCACCAGTTCCACGGCTGGAACAGTTCACGAGATCCACCTAACCCATCCACAGCTGCCGCCAAGCCTTTCTTCTCTTTAATTTAAACTTACTTATTTTTTGGGCCACACCACATGGCTTGCAAGATCTTAGATCCCTGACCAGAGATGAAACCCAGGCCCTCGGCAGTGAAAGCACAGTCCTACAGAAAGCACCGCTGGACCACTAAGGAGTTGCCAAGCCTTTTTTATTTGACATTTATAAAGTACAAAAATGGGAGAAGAAAGTTGTTGGCACCTGAGAGGCCTCAGTTCCTCTTTGAGAATTTACCCAGACTCTCTACGTGCCAGCTGTCTGTACTTGTCCTGAGTAAGTGGCTTAGCTGCTGCATTGCCTCGGGGTTTTCATAAGGCAAAGGGTGATATAATTGTGTATTCTATTGATCAGCATTATGCACTTGACCTATGGTCAGCCCTCAATGAGGTGCAGTTGTGAATGAAAAAAAAAGGCATTGGTCCATTTGGGGTACCAATGGGAGGTACAAATGGGGTACAAATGGGATGTAGCTACAAATGGGAGAAGCCTTAGGTGGTTTAAAAACCAACAATTTCTTCGTAGATTCCAGCCTTTATCTCCTGTCCCAAACTCTCACTAACCAAATCTGGCTTGTCTGCTGTTTTTATGCTTTTTTTAAATAATCTTTTTTTTAAAGAAAAAAAATTTATTTATTTATGTTTGGCTGTGCTGGGTCAGTGGCCGCATGTGGGCTCTTTCTCTAGTTGCTACAAGCAGAGGCTACTCTCTGGTTGTAGATGGAGGGCTTCTCCCTGCAGTGGTTTCTCTTGCTGTGGAGCATGAGCTCTAGGGCAATCAGGCTTCGGCAGTTGTGGCGTGTGGGCTCAGCAGTGGTAGCTAGCAGGCCCCAGATGCAGGCTCAATAGCTGTGGTGCATGGGCTCAGCTGCCCCGTGGCATGTGGGATCTTCCTGGGCAGGGATCAAACCGGCATCCCCCACATTGCAAAGTGGACTCTCAACCACTGGACCACCAGGGAAGCCCTCTTAGATAGTTTTTAAGAAAGTTTTTCATGTTTTTAAATGGTTGAAAAAAATCAGACCTACTTTGTAACATGTGAAAATTACATGAAATTTAAAATTCAGCAACCATACAGTATTTTGGAACACAGTCACACTGATTTGTTTTAAATATTGTCAATGGTCATGTTTATGTTGCCCACAAAGAATAAAATATTTACTCTCTGGCCTTTTAAGAAACAGTTTGTCAACTCCTGCTCCAGACTATTCCCAAGGCCTTTTGGTGGTGGTGTACAGGCTTCTTTAAAAATCATCCTCTCCTGCTCCCCTGGGGCTTCTTTCAGCTGAATAACTGACCACAGTCCTGCCAGTTCTTCATCTCAAAACAATGGAGTCAGTCTTGCCTCTCCTCTTTCCTGCAGCTCCCACATCTGTATCATGAGTAAAGTCTGTCCATGAGTAAACTCTTGTCACTTCAGCTTCAGAATTAATGATTGCTGTTTTTCTCCTGTGACCTAATCACATGATGCTAATGAGTTTCTGAACCCTAAACAACCTTCAGATTCCTGCAAAAGCCCTCTTTGGCTGTGACAGACTTTCTTTTAAGATACTAGTCTTTATTTGCTAATACTTTATTTAGAACTTTTGCCTTGTATATTTTTAAGTGAAGTTGGGATAAAAGTTTTCTTTTTTGGTGTTTTTTCAAATTTTGGTGTAAAACTTTTTGCAAATTTCAATCACTGAAAAACGTTACCTTGTTTTCTACAATACAGGTGGTTTTTACAGCATTTGGATGACTGCATCTTGAAAGTTTATTAAAAGAACTCATCCATAAAGTCATTTGGGCCATCAATGTCTTTGGTTGGCATGTATGATTTTCTAACAGAAGTGAAAGCCAATTTAGCCCTGGTGCTTGCCCCCTCCAATCACAATAACCAGGGGCCAAACCATCACTCACGGAGGTGGTCCAGTTTCTGGCTGTGTGGCGTGGCTGAAGATGGCGAGGAAGGGAGAGAGTCAAAGGTCACATCACTCATGTTGTCATCTCCGGAGTTCTCTGAGAGGCGAAGGAGCAGTGGGGGCCGGCTCCCCGAGAGGGTCCTCACCCGGGGGCTCCCGCACTTTTCCTCTGTCCCCCTTAAGATGGTCTTGGCTGACTGCTGGAGAATTAACAGGGACATGGAGGTCACACAGGCACCTTTTGGGAACAAGGGGTTCTTCCTGTTGCCTGTTGGTCCCTCAAAACTTGAGACCCTTTCAGCCACAGAGGCCTTAGGGACTGGCAGAAAATCTAAAAATAATCAGAGGGGGATTAACCCGAAGGCCTCTATAAGAAGGGGCATCTGGAACATGAGGTCCGAGGGCCAGCACTCCCGAAGTGATGACCACCATTCATAGCCCTGAGCTGGGGGATGTAATGAAGAATCCCAAGCTGGTCTTTGACAACATGGCCTTGTATCTGATCCACGTATTGAAGGTGGTAATGGGGGTACAACAGGGACACAGCGAGGTGCTCAGTGAGCCAAGTTCAAGTCTTTTTTGTCAACACATCACACAAACCACAAACCACACACTGCACTCACTATCTGTACACATCTGGTCCCCTCACTCTGGGCAAAAATGGACCCAAATCAAGCAGACCCCAATTCCTCTATTAGTGGGGACAGTTAGGAGGGCTGTGTACACTGGTTCAAAAGGGGTGAGGAACACAGATGGGACTAAGATTCTTCTAGCCACAATATTCCTCAATTAAGCATCACGGGGCCTGGGCCACCAGCACACAGGAAGCAGTTTTCTGGTCCTGCAGCAGAAAGTCCCTGCCAATCCGCACATGCTCACACTGGGTACCTACCAGCAGCTTGGTGTTCTGATTCACTGCATCCCTCTCTCTTGGGGACAGGTCAAAGGGAGCGAGGCCCATGCTCTTGCAAATTCGGTTGCAGGCATGTGAGTGAAAGAAGAGAGCCATCCCGCGGACACCTGCAGACAAGAGTTGGGGGTCTGGAGCATTGTTCTGTTTTGGGGTGGGGGTAGAGCAGCACTGAGCACCCTAAACGTGGCAGGGGCAGGTGTAAAACATGCTAAGCAGGCAAGGGCCAGATGTCCCAGACTCCCATCTCCACAATCTAGGGCAAGCCCATATATGACTTTGGCCTGCTTGCCCGGGTGAACAGGGAAGCATGGTCTCTGGGGCCATGCTGGCTTTCCCAGCCTACCGAGGTTTCCATCTCCAAAGTCAGTGCCCCTCTCCGTGTGGATCTGCGGGTCGGTGTAGAGGTCGCCCACGCCCTGGATGTCCACCACAATCAGCTGGTGGCCAGAACGCTCAAATGTGAAGTGACTGAAGGCCTGTGGGGTGAGAAGAAGGAAAAGGTGACCACAGAGACCAGGCTGTGGGCTGCGTGGACACTGGCAGACACTGCTCCGACAGGCTGCGGTACCCCAGCTCTGCCCACGTTGGGGGCCTTTCTCTGCAGGGAGGAGCATACAGAGGCAAGGACAAAGCAAGAAGCCCTGTTTAATTCAGAGGGGCCCGAGGTCTGCTGAGAAGGGACACGGGGCTCTGCAGGGGCCTCACCTGCGGTGTCAGGCGCACGTTGTCATCACGGACGAAGCCCGAGTTGGAGTTGTACTTGATGTACTTGCCCTCGATGTAGTGTTCCAGGTGGAACAGCGGCCGGCCCGGTCTCTCCTTCAGCTCTATGACGCACATCTGCATGATGTCCACCTGGTGGGAAGGCGGGAGGAGTCAGGGGAAGGGCAGGGCCCAGGTGGCACCCTCCTCTGATAAGAGGCTGGAGCAGAAAGGTTGAAAGTACTGATTGTCTCCAGAATCCATTCCCCTTTTCCTTTAGAATGAAAATTCCTGCTAAGGCCTGAATAAAGAAAGTGAAAGTGAAGTCACTCAGTCGTGTCCGACTCTTTGCGACCCCACGGACTGTGGCCTACCAGGCTTCTCTGTCCATGGGATTTTCTAGTCGAGAATACTGGAGTGGGTTGCCATTTCCTTCTCCAGGGGATCTTCCTGACCCAGGGATTGAACCCTGGTCTGCTGCATCGTAGGCAGACACTTTACTGTCTGATCCACCAGGGAAGTCCATGGCCAGAATGGATCCCTCCAAATTTCATCCGTTGAAATCTCAATGCTCACAGGTGATGGTATTAAGGAGGTGGGGCCTTTGGGAGGTGATAAGGTCAGGAGAGAAAAGCTCTCATGAATGGGATTAGTGCCTGGAAAAAGAAACCCCAGAGAGCTCCCCTACTCCATACACTCTGTGAGGACACAGCAAGAAGGTGCCAGCATGAACCTATAACCCATTCTCCTGTATTTCGTTACAGCAGCCCAAATGGACTAAGACAACCTGAGTTGTAACAGGATGCACAGCCATCCAGCAGCGATGACATGGCTTGGCTTCCCTTGCAGCTAGATGTGGCCATGTGACTAAGCCCAGCCAATAGGAAGCAAGCAGCAGGGATGACGCATCTCCAGCCTGCCCTCTCCTTCTGGCCTTCCTGAGGCTGTAAGGTGGACACCTGCCAGTGAGCCAGAATTGACCATGCAAGCGGTCCAGGGCAACTCCTGGAAGATGGCAAACAACAAGATAGAAGGAACCAGGCCTCTGGACGACAAGGAGGTGAAGCACCAGCGCACCCTGAGCCCCATCTAAGCGAGGCTATTCGATGAGATGGAAGGAAACCATTTTGAGTTAGCACACAGCTGTGAGTGTCTGCTAAGCAACTTAGCCTGTACCTTATGCTAATACAGAGAACTTGGGCAAGTTATTTCCCCAGTTTGTGCCTCAGTTTCCTCACCTGTGGAATGGGTATAAGGATGAAATCTGTTGGTACAGGAAACAGTCTGCCAATGTTTGCTGATGTCATTATTATCAGCAGGCACAATTCTAGAGTGATACATACCAAACCATAACAGTGGTTCTTTCCCTACAAAGGGGAATCACAGGGAGCTCAGACATTCCTTGCTAAATTTTGCACCAAGTGTATGTTTAATTTTGTACTCAGAAGAAACTGTGTAAGTACTGTATATGTCTGTAAAGTAGGACAGGGAAGAGCTGGGACTCTAACTTTGACCTGTTACACAAGGTCACACCCATGGTACCCTGTCAGTGTCGACGCCACCCACAACAGGAGCCAGGTCTGAGTTTCCCAAGGAAATGACCACCCAGGAAACTGTTTGGCTGAGTCAAGGAAGACAACAGCTACAGAGGCCAAAGGGGTCCAGAGCTGGGAGCTGAGGACCTCCCCAAACGTGGCCTCAGTTCTGAGAACCAGCCAGAGGGGAAGGAGCAGCTGGTTCCCAGCAGATTCCTGTCCCCAAACTGGCTCTATTCCTACAAGGAAGCCTGTGGCAGGGCCACTGACTTGGCCAGGAGGCAACTGGATGAGGGTCAGTGGCAGAGACACATCCTCAAGGCGACGGCCAATTCCTCCTCAAACAACCACATTCCTCTCCCTTCATCAATTCACCCACCTTATTATTCACTGAGCACCTAGCTCTTGGATAGAGCAAATAAGACAGATAAAATCCTTGTCCTCAGGGGAGAGAGACAACTGAAACATACATGAATAAATACATGAATAAGACTCTTTCAGATACTGCCAACTGCTCTGAAAAAAAGAAACCAAAACAAACAAAATGACATGACAGAGTTACTTCACCTTCATTTAGGATGGTCTAGCACAGCCTCATAGCTCAGTCAATAAAGAATCTGCCTGCAATGCAGGAGACCCGGGTTCGAATCCTGAGTCGGGAAGATACCCTGGAGAAGGAAATGGCCATCCACTCCAGTATTCTTGCCTGGAAAATTCCATGGACAGAGGAGCCTGGTGGGCTATGGTCGATGGGGTCGCAAGAGTTGGACACGACTTAGCAATTAAACCACCACCACCAGCACAGCCTAGCTGAGGAGGTGACATGAGCTGAAACCTGAAATGTAAGGACTGAAGAGATCCAGTGATGCAGCCTTGGGGCACAGCCAGTTCAAAGGTCCTGAGGCAGAAACAAGCTTAGGGAAGAAGGGAAAAGTGGTCAGGCCTGAGTGCATGAAGTCACAGTCCCTGAGGGTGGGAATGTGACTTCCTGTGTTCACACTAAGTATGCTTAATCAAGGGCTCTGCAAACACTAGGCACTCAATAAATTCTGCTGGTTGCCTGGAAACGTGGCTCTCCTGAGGCACTCAGAAGATGGTACCTTATAGCTAGCAGGTACACCAACAGTAGGAGAGCTGAGCTGTGAATTTAGGCAGAGCAAAGGCCTAGCTCTATTTTCTAGCTATTTCCTTAAATGCATGCAGGCAACAGGAAATTGTGCTTGGGCTCAGGTCACCAATACCCTGGGGGCTCAAGTGAAGAAGCCAAGAAGCCCGCCTTTCCAAGGGGCTTGGAAAGTCTGAGCTTTCCAGGAATAAGCCCTGGCTCCATCCCTGCCTGTTTGGGCAAGAAACTTTACCCCTTTGTGCCCTAGATTCCCCAGGTACAGATAAGGAATCCATCCCGCATGCCCTCTCCTGCTTTTTCTTGGGAGAAAGCAATCTCAGCCCATCTAGTCTAAGAGGAAGGACCCATAACCCTGGCTCTAAGGGTGGGTATAAGGCTCAGGTCTGCCCAATTTGCATATTCCCACCTCCTGGCCATCATGATTGGCTCAGTGATAGGCATCTGACCTAATCAAGCCAATGAAATCCGGTTCTGAGACTTTCATAGAAACTTATGGGAAAACATGTCATTCCATCAAGGTTGCCAAGAAATAGAAAGGGAGCCTGCAGCTACTGGGGTCAACATGTCACTGCAAGTTGAAAAGTTGCCTAAGTGATGCCAACATAGAAGAACATTGAAGCTAGAGCTGGAGGAAGACTTCCAACAACCTCAATTTGGTCCTGGATCCAGCTGTGCCTGTGTGTGTGCATGCTAAGTCCCTTCAATCATGTCCAACTCTTTGTGACCCTATGGACTATAGCCTACCAGGCTCCTCTGTCCATGGGATTCTCCAGCCAAGAATACTGGAGTGGGATGCCATGTCCTCCTCCAGGGGATCTTCCCAACCCAGGGATCGAACCTGGGTCTCTTATGTCTCCCGAATTGGTAGGTAGGTTCTTTCCAACTAGTGCCACCTGAGAAGCCCCAGCTGTGCCTGCAGTCAGCCCTATTTCTCAATTATAAGAAGCAATCGATTCCCCTTTTGGATTAAGCCTATTTAAATGGATTTCTGTCATTTGCAAACAAAAATCCTGACTAATAGACCCTATGTGTAAATGAAATAAAAACATTCCAACTTGCACCAACGTCAGAGCTCTGTTTTTTGTTTTTTAAATTTTCTTTTTCTCCTATTTTTTGGCCACACTGTGGAAGCATCCAGGATCTTAGTTCCCCAACCAGGGTTTGAACCCATGGCCACTGCAGTGGAAGCATGGTGTTTTAACCACTGGACCACCAGGGAAGTTCCAGAGTTCTGTTTTTAAGAATAAATAACTTTTGGCATACAGAGGACTTGACCTGTCAGGCTCCATAAATGATGGGTTTTATTAGCTGCTGCTAAGACAGGAAAGAAGGGGGCCTGTGACCGGCACCTCCATCGCCCTCATCTCCAGGTCTGAGCTACGCTGTCCTGGGCTGCGCTGGTGTAGGAATGTGGAAGGCAGGGGTGCCACACACCTGCTTGGGGGGCTTGTGCCGATTATATTCCTCTCCCCAGAGCTTGGCCTCCATCTGTAGACGCACGTCCTCGAAGTACACGTCCCTGTCCACGGACTCGATGTAGCGCTTTGCCACGTAGTTGGAGGCCCCCTTCCACTGCTGGGTGTGCAGGAAGTTGGAGAGCTTCTTCCTGAGAGGAGAGGCATCAGGGGGCCTGCCTGACACTCTGGGGCTCACTGGGACCCCAGCCCTAGTCCTCAGGACAGGGAGACCCTGCCTGATCTGGCCGACAGAGTCAGGAACAAAATGCAGGAGGTGAGAAGGGCTTCCCCACCCCACAGCATCCTTCAGAGATCTGGGAAGGAGGGGTCAAGGGACATAACCCCTGTTCTGCCCAAACCCATCCCTACAGCCTGGCCCAATGTGTGGTCCAAGTAGACAATGTCACAGAACCTCTGATCTCAGGAGCCTGAGGGCATCCGGACAGGGCCCCCAGAGGCAGGCTGAGTCACTTACGTCCTGAAGCACTCCCTCATTGCTCCCCGGCCGAAGGGCTGAAAGACATGACACAGATATGTGCAAACCTCATGGACAAAATGGTGAGTTATACATGCACTCTATGTGTATGGAGCTCCATTTATACGGAGTACAAAAACAGGGAAACCAACCTCAGGTAACAGAATTCAGGGCAGTGCTCACCCTTGGGAATTAAGGAGTAGTGACTGGGGCTGAGAGGGTCTTCTGGGGGGTGCCAGTGATTTCCAGGGTCTTGATCTGGGTACTGGTGACACATGTGTTCACTTGGTGAAACTCATCAAGCCAGACACTTTTCTGAGTGTGCGACACACTACAAAATGCTTCGCAAATCGACCCTGCTGCTTCCTATGCAGGAACTTCTCTTCTAGTTGATATATATATATATTTTTTGCAACCCACTGAGTTCATCTTGTTAGACGAACAGTCTTAAGTGGTGACTTGCAATTTTTGAAAACTGATACACACGTTCACAGTTCACTGATTTTCAACAGGAGTGTCAAGAAGAATCTTTGAATATATATGATCAACATATGAAATGTCCAGAAGAAGTAAATAAACAGAGACAGAAGTGAAATTAGTGGTTGCCCAGGGCTGGGGAAGATGAGGGAACTGGAGACTGACTGCTGATGGGTATGTATGAGGTTTCTTCTAGAGATGGTGAAAATGTTCTGGGACTGATCAGGGTGATGGTTGCACAACCCTTGACTATACTAAAAACCACTGAGCTGTTCACTTTAAATAGGCATGTGGTATGGCGTGTGAATTATATTAAATAAAGCTGCTATAAAAGATAAAATAAATACACAATAGAGAATACCCTAAAGCTTAAAAAAAAAAAAAACCAGAGGATGTGGAGGACAGGGAGTGGGCACTGCAGATGGTCAGCCTGGACTGCGCTGAACTCGAGGCTCTGCTCACCTGAGATGCCATCTTGATTAGGACTTCATCCTCCACCCACTCGCCGGTGACAGCATTGTACCTGCAGAGACCAGAACCCACCCCAGGGCGCAGCGTCCATCACCTGATCCTGTCACTCACTGGCTAAAGATAGAAGACTTTTCTGGGCTTCCTGCTACCCTGAGGATCAAGTCCACTCTCTACCCACAGGCCCAGCTGACCTCCTGGGTTCGGTCTGTGGACACGCTCCCTCCTTCCCAGGCTCCCACCACAGTGGCCTCCTTCCCTTTCCTCAAAGACAGCTGTTCCTTCACCATGTCCCCCCCAACCCCGCCCTCCACGCTACTGCTGCGCTGTGGGGAGGCTACAGCTCCTCCACCGGACTGTAACTCCACAAAGACAAGCCATGTCTGTGCTGCGTACTGCAGGGCCTGGTACTGGGGTTGCTTAATAAATGCATGCTGGCTGCACAACTGATAAATAAATTTCTCTATTATAACTGGTCTAGATAGTGAATGGTGTGTCCCAGGAAGGAAGGCGGCAGCACCCTCGGTCTTGCCAGTGTGAGGCCCAGCCCAGGTAGCTAGGCCAGTCTCCTGAAGCCTGTCCCGGTGCAGACAGCAGCGGTGGAGGGTCCCGCCTCTGAGTCCAGCCAGGAAAGGGGCCACTGGCTACACACCCAAGATAGAGAGGCACAGAGAGGGTTCCAGAACATTTCCATCTCTCTCTTTCCCAGGGATCCTCTTTCCCAGAGCAAATCTGCCCCTAGGCCTGGCTGGGCCTTAACAGGTTTGTCTGGTAGAAAGCTCTTCAGCTCAGTAAGTCCCGAAAATCTAAAACCTCCCCCAGGGCTGAGGCGTTCTCAGCTCTAGCAGATGCACCCCTGGTCCACCCTCGGTGGGGAGAGACTCCAGAACCTCCCAGCTCCTGAGAACAGCCTCCTCAGAGCCTGAAACCTCTACCAGGAAAAACAAGCAGAGGCTTGGCAGGTAACCTGCCCCAGGCCTTGGGCGGGGGGGGGGGGGGGAGGCTTGTTAGAGCCGCACATCTGCTGGCAACAAGCTCTTGGCAAGTATTGCCTTCAATAAATAATGGCCATCATTATTATTAATTTTATTACCATGTAGGTGCCAAGGTAAAGCAAACAGTCTGCCCTCACTTCCAAGTAGACTGAAAGCTGAGAGGCACCCAGAAGGTGGGGGAGGGTGGAGACAAGCCATACTGGGAGGATCTTAACTGTCCTTCACAACCACTGACCTCAGAGGGGACAGAGGTGCTCTAAGTTCACTGAGCATTCACTGCAAGCTGAGTGCTTACACAGAACTCCTCAAGAACCATCACTCAGCCCAATGAGATCCATACAAATACTGTGCCCACTTTCCAGATGGGAGAACTGAGGTTCAGAGAGGTGAAATAACCTTCCTGAGAGCCAAGATTCAAATCCAGATTAGTTTCAATTTGACCTTTGCGCTTAACCAGTCTCGGGACAACTCCACTGAATAAGAAATCTGTCCCAGTGAAGGGCCAGCTTGCAGCAGAGTTCTCTAAAGACCAGGAGAGGAGGAGGAAGCCTCCAATCTAGAAATCTCTGGACACTCGGGCATCAAAGTCTGACCTCCCTCTGCTGGTAGTCAGAGCAGTTGAAATCAGCAAGTTTAGTTAGGAAATCAACACAGTTTGGTGTGGCCCCTGGTCCCTGTTCCTGAGGAGCTCTGGGATACACCAAACTAGCCCAGCATGTGAGTCCTGCTTCCCAAGGGCCTCCCTGTTGGCCTGGAAGCCACATGTCACCAACCAGCCACCACACTGCCCTTATAGGCAGGAAGAAAAAGAGTCCACATCCTGGCCTTCTGGGGCACCCATAATACCCAGCTGCTGGAACAGACCCCAGAGCCTGCTAGGAGGTCAGCCTCCAAAACAGGAAAGGGGTGCACGCCACGCTCTAAGCCATCTCCTCACAAGGTGTGAGCAGGAACACGTTGTAGAAAGGTGGAGAGGGTGCCACTGCTTCTGTCTGCCCAGCATCCACTCTTCTTTCTTCTGGCAACAGCACCTCAATTTTCCTTTGGGGAACCACCATCCACCATTTTCAGAATATATGGACTGGGTGGAGCTGATCCCCCAGCACTTTCTGATGTGTAGTATGTGATCTAGACTTGGCTAATCAAAGCAAAGCTCCTGGCACAGTGACTGGTTTAGTGGTGGGCCTATAACCAAAGCCAGGCCAATGATATTCAAATGTTACAAACTGAGTCAGATTCTTTTCCATTTGGTGAGATGAAACATGGGGCTCCCAGGGGCCATCAGTACCATTAATGCAAGAGAATCTATCTGGTGTCAAAGTCAAAAGCATCCTTGGAGCACCTGGAATGAGCTATACCTGAAGCACACATAGATAAGTCAACCATTCCTCTTTGCTTAAGCCACTGTGAATTGGGTTTCTATCACTTGCATTTGGGCTATTTGTTACTGCAGCGTAGCTCACCCTAGCCTGTTGAATACTGTCTTATAGGAACACTGTGAAGATTAAATGAGATAATGCACAGTGCTTGTCTGTGTATGTGTGTTAGTCGCTCAGTTATGACCCGACTCTTTGTGACCCCACAGACTTTGGCCACTGGGCTCCTCTGTCCATGGGATTCTCCATGCAAGAATACTAGAGTGGGTTGCCATTTCCTCCTCCAGGGGATCTTCCCGACCCAGGGATTGAACTCAGGTCTGCTGTATTGCAGGTGGATTCTTTACCATCTGAGCCACCAGGGAAGCCCCGCATGGTGCCTAAACATGAGTAAATACTCAAATATTGACTGATATTATTATTATTATATTCCCTTTTCCTTGATCTCCAGGGGTACTTAAGCTTCACTGATTACAAGCAGAAAAAGGACCCAACCCTCAAGGACCCCTAGAGAACTGGGGTCATATAGCACCTGCAGACAAGGAGCTGACCTGTGGCGCGTGGCGCATTCCGTGGCAACATCTTCCAGGTGGAACTCAGCCCAGGGGTCAGGCATGTGCTTGGCTTTCTCAATTGCATGCTTCCAAGCTTCCTGCAGAAGCAAAAGGGACTGTTAGGCTTCTGGGACAGCGGAGGCCAATTCCTCCCACCATGCGATTTCCCAGGTGTCTCCAGCCTCTCAGGAGGCAGACAGCATTATTCAGACAGAATTATAATCACCTATTATCCTTGTAGGAACATAGTTCCCAGAAGACCTCAAAGGGGCATAGCCTTCCCACGGCCAGAAGTGACCTGCCTCAACTATAAAACCTTGAAGAAGAAAACGTAATATGCATAGAAAACACATACTGCTTTGCTTGTTAGCAAAAAGTTGAGAATGAAAATATTATTCCCCACCCCTTTGCTCAGATTAGAAGACATTTTAACAGCTGGTAACCAGGAGTCTGACCAGGATGTGGGAAAATGAGTTCTCAAATACCATCAGTGGATATAAACCTCTTCTAAAGGTGGCCTGGCAATGTACTAAAATGGGAAAAAATGTATTCCTTCATTTTTTTAATTAATTAATTTTTATTTTTGGCTGTGCTGGGTCTTTGTTGCTGCAAGCAGGGGCTACTCTCTAGCCGTGGTGCATGGGCTTCTCATTGCAGTGAGTTCTCTTGTTGCAGAGCACGGGCGCAGTACTTGTGATGCTCGGGCTTAGTTGCCCTGCAGATCTTCCCGGACCAGGGATTGAACTCCTGTCTCCTGCTTTGGCAGGCAGATGCTTAACCACTAGGCCACCAGGAGAAGTCCCTATATTCCTTTATTTTGATACAGCAATCCTATATCTAGGAATGTATCGTACAGAAATACAAACATACGGACTTTTTTGGTGGCCCAGTGGTTAAGAATCAAACCTGCCTTCCAATGTAAGGGACCAGTTGGGGACCTAAGATTCTGCATGCCACAGGGCAACTAAGCCTGCACATCACAACTAGAGAAAGCCTACGCACCACAAGGAAGAGTGCATATGCTATAACAAAGACCCAGAGAATACAAAAAAAAGAAAGTAATACAAATATAAGTGTGCACACTTGTGTACGAGGGGTATTGTGATGGTACAAAACTGAATTCAACCCAAATGTCTGTGGAGACTGGTTAATACACTTTGACTATATTCATTTAAAATGTTAAATAGCCCTGTGCTGAGAATTCTGGACTCTTACCCAGTCCAACGTCACTTTTTTATAAATATTATATAAATCATAAATACACCCCATTTTAATACACCCCAAATGAAATTTATAGACAATATAAGCTCCTCAATCTCAAAAGTATACTAACAAAAAGAGTATATCAAACTATGCAAAATATACATTGCCTTTACATTAACAAATGGCTAGATTCTCAGTTAACTACAAACAGATTCCCAGGAGACATTTCAAGGTCCTGGGGTGCAGGATCACTCCTGGTGCAGATCTGCTCTTCCATTCCAGGATTTAGCATCCCTGCCCTTCAAACATCCGGTGCCTCAGTGCCCTCCACTGTTGTGCTGCCCAAAAACACACATCCCCAAATATTCAAACCCTGTTGAGAACTGGGCCTCTTGAGCACTAACTGGGAAAGATGACCAAGTCACGTGATGGAGAGAACATGCTGAGTCTCAACAGCATCACAGTATGGCCCCATTGTTTTGTTTGTTTTAAAAAGCTCATTTTACTGCTTTTATAATCCCAAGGTGGAATTCTTTCCCCTTTAAACAAACACTCTGACACTCACACTGGGTAGTAATCCCCTCTCCATCTTTTCCTCCAGAGCTTGAACTTCTGCCTGACAGCATCTACAGAATCCGTGAGACCAAAAGTCTGAGCCACAGGAAGGGGCTGGATACTGTCTGGGCCAGGCAGATTCTAGACCTCCTCTCCCCACAACAGCCTCCCTCAGCCTCCCAGGCTAGCTGGGAGGAGCTTAGGAGCTTAGGAGCTCTTCCATGGACTTGGGTTCAAACAGGACAGCTCCCCAGCCTTGGCCCGCCTAAGCTCCACCACTGAGAGCTGCTCAGAGGAGAGGAGGTAGAGGGACTGAGCTCATCAAGAAACTCACACAGAGGGACTTTCCTGGGGTCCAGTGGCTAAGAATCCGCCTTGCAATGCAGGGGACATGGTTTGATCCCTGGTCGGGGAACTAAGACCCAACATGCCTCAGAACAACTAAGTATGTGAGCCATAACGAAGATCCAACGTTAAGATCCAACACAGCCAAATAAACAAATATTAAAAAAAAAAAAAGAAACTCACATACATACAAGTACACACACACACATAGCCCAGGGCTCTCTTACTGTGGCTTTCTAATCTCTGCAAAGTCTAAAAACTTGGAAACTTAATAATTCACACTAATGAAAACACCTGGGAAATACAGAAGACAGACAAAATTCAAACTTGCCACAGGCCATCCACCCAGAGCAACTGTTAACATCATCAATGCTTTGGAAATTAGTTCTTTGCCAGATCCCTTTTGTGCATTTTTAAATAAAAGTGGAATCACACTGCAGATATAATTTACAGCCTTTCAGGAGAGTGTTCTGCATCTTCCTTTTTTCTCCACTTTGCACAGGATCTTGGATCCAGTCTTTCCATATCATATGTGCAGACAGGCTGGGCTGACCTCATATCCCTTCCTTGGTTGTAGGATATAATATAATTGTATAAATATACCTTAAGGTAGGGCTTCCCTTGTGGCTCAGCTGGTAAAGAATTCACATGCAATGCAGGAGACCTTAAGGTATTTCTCAGACCTAAGCTGATGGCTATTCGGATTCTCTCCAATGATCTCTGCTGAAGAGAACATTCCCTTATCTATATCTCTGTGCACTTGTCCAAGAGCTCAGTATTTCAAGGGAATGTAATTGTGAGATCACATTTAAAGTTTAGAATTTTGGAGTTCTCTCCCAAAAAGATTCTCCTAGGTTACACTCCAAGAAGCGGAGAATAAACCACTCAAATTTTTTGACACAAACATTACATCATGAATTTACAAGTTAGCTGTAACAGCTCCATAGTATTCCACCGCATGGGTTTATCATTATTGACTTAACCTGTGGTTCTCCGCAGTGAGAATTTGAGCTTGTCACTGATTTTTCCCTCTTATACATAACCCTGCAGCAGACATGTTTACAAGAAAAGCAGCTTCTGGATTTTGGTAATTTTAAAATGTGCCACAGTCCCCTCTAGTATTCCAGCCACTGTGAATGGCAGGAACGGCCTTCTGATCCCCGCACCTGCCAAGAAGCCTGCAGGGTTCTGTACAGGTGCCCTGTCTTCTGCCTGAGACACACGATTTTCCAAATGTATTTCTCAAAACCGATGACTAAGACATGCCCTAAGCCACCTAAGACAGGGCCCCTCAATCAACGAGGATTATCAACAGAAGTTACGTGCTGGCTGGGAGCTGTGGCATGAACCAAAAAAAAGTCAAAGAAAAAAGTATTTCAGAATTAGAGGGCATGATATGTCACAAGGTCAAAATTACCTTTAAAAAAAAAAAATCCAGAAAAGAATCAAGCCACACCTTACTGGCAACAGGTATGTTTAATGTAACTGACTTTTTTTAAAAGCACAATATAAAAAGTCTGGTACTAAGACTCAGTTCCCTGAGTTCTGGTTCCGGCCCACTGCTGACCCACTGGGGGAACTTCCATTTCCTCATTTACAAAAGACAGGGAAGAATGTTTTGACTACTAGTGGTCAACTTCTTTCCTGTCCCCACTAGAAATAGTGTCTCACTGAGCCCGAAGTGCTCTTTACAGGTGAACAAACTCAGCTGAGCTGAAATCACTGGTCCTGTTTAATCCCATCATGTTGGGAAAAACAGGTGGTAACTGTGGCCTGGGAAGTGAGTGCTCTCAGACACTGTGAGTGGAAGCAGGTATCGCCACCTTTGAGGGCCATCTGCTTATGCTAGATGGCTGGCCAGTAATTATGACCCTGCTTCATTGACTTCTGACCCACCCGTTCTGATCACCTACCATGTGTGACCGGCCGAGCTGGCCCAAAGATGGTTGGTGCTCATAATACTGTGTAACAGGCAAACACTGCAAACAATCGGCTCCTCCACAGAGGGATGATTATGTACACTCGGCATAATCCGATGCAGTGTTAAAAAGATGACGGCACTGATATGGGCAATCTCTAAAAGCTACTGTTTGGGTGGAAAAAAACAAAGTGCCGAATAAAGCAAGCAGTATGACACCATTTACTGGTGGATGAAGCCACTAATCAATACCATAGCTTTCTTAGACTCACAGAGATCAGCCTTGTGGTTGCCTAGAGGTAGGAGGGGAAGAAAAGGATGGAATGGGACTTTGGGGTTGGCAGATGCAAAGTATTACATTTAGAATGGATGAACGACAAGGTCCTACTGTATAGCATAGGGAATTATATCCAATCTTCCAGGATAAACCATAACAGAAAAGAATATATATAAAAAAGAATGTATATATGTGTATAACTGAGTCACTTTACAGCACTGATTGGCACAACATTGTAAATCAACTATACTTCAATAAAATATATATATGTGTGTATGTGTGTGTGTATATATATATATACACACATATATATATGGGCTTCCCTCATAGCTCAGTCAATAAAGAATCTGCCTGCAATGAAGGAGACCTGGGTTCAATTCCTGGGTCAGGAAGATGCCCTGGAGAAGAAAATGGCAACCCACTCCAGTATTCTTGCCTGGAGGATCCCATGGACAGAGGAGCCTGGCAGGCTACAGTCCACGGGGTCGCAAGAGTTGGACACGACTACACCACCACCGTTTGTATATATACATATATGAAAAAATACCATCAGATTTCTAAGGATGTGTGTGTCTGTATATATATGCCTAAGTGTACATTTACATATAAATGTATTTTCAAAGGTCTGAAAATTTTACAGCACAGGGAATATGGCCAATATTTATATGACTTTAAATGGAGCATAATCTACAAAAATACTGACTCACATGTTGTACACCTGAAATACAATATTGTAAATAAACAATAGTTTAATAAAATGTTTAAAATAAAAAATAAAATACATTTAAGAGGTCTGAAAA